ATATAAAATAATTGAGTCAGACGCAATTATTTTTGAGGATTTTGGCAATTGAGTCAACTGCAAAATAATTTACACCATATGTATAGCTCCTATTGCAATAGTTAATACTTTCAAATATTAATAAGATCTTACATGTTAACAGTTGAAGTTGTATTGATACTTGCAAATATATTGTAAACAAAATAACAGTTTTTTTTTAGGATGTGTATATAAGCTTGAAAAATATAAAGAAGGTATATAATAATAAAACAAATATTACTATCAGATATAAAAGTCAAAAATAAAATTATTTTATTGAAGATTTTTAAGCATGTATAAAATAATTTTATGGTTATAAAATTATTATTTATTTTATTCAAAGGTCAAAAAAGCATCCTTAAATATATTTTTAACATTATAATCTTTTTCAAATAAATAAATAAAATAAAAATATATTAGATATTATATATATATTTATATAAGACCTAATCTTCTAAAAGATATATGTATAATAATATAGTAAATATAAACATTATAAAATAAATAAAAAATAAATAGTAAATAAAACCCTTATATGTCAAATAAATATATCCATAATCCTTTGTTAATTCCATATGGTATAATAGTATAAATGCTATTAGTAATACCAATTACCTCTTGTAAATTCTATATAGCTTGAGATAATCAGCAGTTCTAATGATTATAACATATATCCAAGATCAGGTAGCAGATTAAGAATTCAAATTGTTATCCCTTAAACCATTAAGCGGGCAAATTTGCCTGCTTAAATTATTTTTGATCTGTTTTTGTATAACTACAAAAGATTTTTATAAGCATATCTTCCTTTTTTATGCAAATATCTGAATGTGCTACATTGCCGATTGCCTCATGATTTCCTTCCCACGGTTCTTCTAACAAAAATCTAAAATTCCATTCTCCAAAAATAACTTCTGGGATTATGAAATTATGTCCTCTTCAACTAGATCGAATGCATTACCTTCAAGTTCAACTTTAAGTTCGTTTCCTCTTGAAAATACAGAAGTGCATACCATCGATGATGAAAAGTATGTTTTACTTTTGACATTTTGTCAACGTTCTTTGGAAAATCTAGAATCAGACCTTGAGGATGAGGATGAGGACACCATGAGTATTCATAGAGATAAACACACAGCAATGGTACAATTACCACCACCTTCTCATAATTTTGATTATTTCATTCATCCAAGACCATTACATTATACCTTTATAAATTTGTCACCACAATATGAGGTCAACTTTTCAAAACCAATCAACCTTTTCCTTTTTTTTTTTACAAACAATATTTTAGATACAATAGTTGCAAATACGAATTATATTCACTATCAAAAAATGCCGGTGATGTTGGCAGGCCTTGGCAAGACATAAATCGCAAAGAACTTATTATTTGGATCACTTTGATCATCTATCAAGGACTTTTTAATTCATCTTCCCTCAATCAATACTGGAATGAGAATACAAAACTCCCAATTCATAATATTTCGAAGCAAATGTCATTGTTTCGTTTTGAACAAATCAAAAGATATTTGCATATTTCTTCTCCTACAGCTACAATCAACAATTACTTCAAAAAACTAGAGCCATTACTCTCAAAAATCCGTGATGTATCAAAACAACTCTATACCCCAAGTTTGAACATTTCGGTGAATGAAATGATGGTACGATTTTCCAGAAGGAGTGTTCATACGGTTAGAATAAAGAATAAATCAACTCCTGAGGGTTTCAAAATCTTATCACTTTGCGAATCAGGATATACATATACTTTCTTGCCAATATCGCGCATCTCTCCAAGTGGTGTGCCAAAAGTGAACAGCCTTAATCAAGTTGGATGTCTTGTTCATCATCTCATTACGCAACTTCCTTATCACCGATCTTCATTCAATGTCTACATGAATAATTATTTTTCTAATGTCCCTCTATTTCAAAATCTTCGGCAATTAGGTATTGGTGCTTGTGAAACTGTCTGTAAAACAGCTTCAGGATTTCCAAAAGAGTTGAGAATAGAAAAAAATGTCAAACTTGATTGGGACATTCGTTCCGGTGTCATAGTAAATGGCGTATTATCAGTTTTTTGGCAAGATAATGGGCCGATAACAATGTTATCAACAATCCATGGTCTTGTTGGTGAGGAATGGGAGATAGAACGTGAAAGGCAATGACCAAGAGAAACAAGTACCAATGCCACGAAGGTTTGAATTTTATTTTATTTTTTTTTAATTATTATTTTTTATTTAATTCTTTTATTATTGTAGGTGCATACGGTTTTTGGCTCTGAATCTAAAAAAAAATTAAAAATCCCCAAAATAATTGATGATTACAACCACAATATAAATGGCATAGATGTTGCAGACCAATTACGATTGTATTACAATACGCAACAAACGGTTCGACGGAATTGGATGCCTCTTTTTTTCTGGCTGTTAGATACTGCAATAATTAATGCCTATCAGATTGCCCGAACGTTAGAATCGACACAAGAGCAAAAAGAATTTCGCCGTGAACTTATTTAAGATCTTATAGATTTTGCGAATGATATTATGGAAGTTCAATTGAGAGTTGGCTCAAAAAGAGAAACAAAAGAAATAAAAAAAGAAACAAAATGGCCAAGAGTAACAAAAAATTTTGAGCTTTCAAATTGACGATTGGCACCTGGAAATCATTTTCCGGAATGGAGAGAGAAACGAGAAGCATGCCAATGGTGTATTTGATTGGCAAACAAAAAAAAATTGGATATGGATTGTAAAACGCCATATCAAAGTCAGCTTTGGTGTGTAGCTTGCAATGTACCTCTCTGTTGTAATAATAATCGGAATTGTTTTATTGGTTTTCATACTTTACAACAAGAAAGGATTTAATGGTAAACTTTTTTTTTGAATTAAAAATAAAAACGTTAATTTAGCCGACCTAACTATCATGATAATTCAAAATTTTATTATAAATAAGTATTCATATTATATAGTAATTTTTGTTTGTTACGATATGAAGTATACAGAACTGAATTGTCAAGAATTTTTATAAGATTGGTCATTCGGGATGCTTCGCAGCCGAAACATATCAAATTTCACATGACTCAAATTTGTACACTTTTTTTGAGTCACATATCAAATGTCACGATGTGGTTGTGGAGTTATCATGTGCCCTTCACTTCTGAAAATCACCCTAGTCAATTTAAATTATCCCATTTATATAAAAAATTTTTTGTAGGGGATAATTTTTCAAAATTATTTAAGTGGGCAAATTTGCCTGCTAAAATGTACAGTTTAAGGGATAACCTATTTATATAATTTATAATAAAGTTAGTATTGAAATAGTATTGAAATAGTATTGTTAAGAACTTTAATAGTATAAAATTATTATTGTTATTGTTATAATCTGTTTAAACTGATTTTATTATTGTTATTAGATTGTTAATATATAATTTTTTTTTTTTTTTTTGCTTTAGTTTTTATTAATATAGTAAATTGTTATATATATTACATATATAAGGGTTAAACTATATTAGTTCTTATATAAACTAGAATCCACTTACAAGTAACTTCAATTATCCAGGTTAAGTCTACTACCATCATTACCATTTTTTTTTGTCTGAATCTTATTTAACTCTATTTAATTCTATTTATTGCCTATATACTAATCCTATTTATTGTATATTATGCTATTGTAACCTATTTCAGCTTATAGAAATCCTTTATAAAAATAAACCTTCTTCTTGATAGACTTTTCAGAGAAAGATATCATGTATCACAAGGAAAGATTACCACACTAATGTGTTTCATTTTGAATATTTCGTATATCTTTTCATTTTTGATGATCATCATAATATCAACCGAATGATCGTTATATCACGACACTTTTTCTGGA